TTCCTACAAAACAGCTATTAGTGGGCTCTGACGACCACGACATCCGAGTGTTCAAAGAGGATGCCATCACTTACGAGTTGTCCGAAACGGATACCATCACCTGTTTGTGTGCCATCAGTCCCCACACATTCGCCTACTCCCTGTCCAACGGTACGGTCGGTGTCTATCATAAGAAGGAGCGCTTATGGCGAATAAAATCCAAGAATCAGGCCATAAGTCTACTAAGTTTTGATGTCAATAATGATGGTGCGCCGGAACTGGTGACCGGGTGGTCCAACGGGAAACTAGATGCTCGCAACGTGGAGAACGGGGAGGTGTTATTCCGGGACAATTTGGCCCATTCGGTGGCCGCAGTGCTCAGCGCCGACTATAACTTAGACGGCATACCAGAGCTCATAGTGTGTACCATCGAGGGCGAGATCAGGGGGTATGTGCCGGCGTCGGCACAGGAACGGCAGTCTGTGATCGACGCCAACTTTGAACAGGACACCATCCGGGAGCTCATGAAACGCAAACAGAATCTGTCCCTAGAATTGAGGAATTATGAGGAGAACATACGGATACAAAGAATCGCCGACCCTTTGGTGGCTAAGGGTAGGCCTACTATGGAGAACGACCAGTTCGGCGCCATTCCCGCCAACACTCAGCTCCGGTCGGCGCTTGTGATCAACCCAAACGATAAATTAGTTGAGTATATGTTTTGCTTTGGTTGTACAGCTTTTATTAGGAAATTATTCATTAGTATTTATTTTTTATGTAAGAATTCTGTGATCAGTAAAAGTTTTTAGTTTTGTATAGAATGTGTCATACAGTAGTTAATAGGTTTTTATATAAGTCTTAATAATTTGGTATCAAATTAATAACACAAAAGTGATTTAAATGGCATTAACTGATTCATTATACTGTGGTATGACTTAAGCCTTCGGTTGAGTTAACACTGGAGACGACAAACGACACAATCATACGAACGGTTGTCATCTTCGCGGAGGGAATATTCAAAGGCGAGTCACAAGTGATTCATCCGATTGACAGTCAAATACAGCCGGAGATCAGTGTAACCCTACGGCCGCCCAAAGACATACCCATCGATCTGCACATCAAAGCGCTGGTGGGCTATAAGTCTAGCTTTCATTACCACGTGTTTGAGTTGACCAGACATTTGCCCCGATTCGCGATGTATGCCATCTCTAAAGGGGTCACCAAACCGCAGAGTTTTGTCACTTTTATATTACCCGAAAAGTTGACTAAAGTTGTGAGTATTGCCATAAAATCCTTTTACAGTATTTTTATATGAGTATAGTATTAGCCACAAAACTTTGAATGAAAATAATGTATGTGTTACTTTTTAATTTATTAATATACTCATTACGTATGTAATAAACAGATGTGTGTAAAATTTAATATAATGATTGTGGGCACCGGCAGGTGATGTGGTTGAACGCAACCTTCCTGTTGGTGGAGGAGTTTGATTTCGCGGAAACACTTGTCGTATCGTTTATATCATTACGAGACGGAGCGCCTCTTATACTGGAAATGGATGGCAAGTCTGGAGAGTTCACTATCCGTACGGACACCATAGAACTGGCCGGTGATCTCATCCAATCCCTAATATTTGAATACCTGGGTATCGAAGACCTGTCCTCAACCGCCAGTTTTCCATCAGAAGTGGAAAGACTGAAGAAATTCATAAATTCTGTGGAAGAACTACAAGCCGTCAGACAGAGATTGGCCGCAGAAATAGCCGACAATTCAATCGCTATCAGAGAGCTCGTGGTGAGGGCTGAAGACGCCCGGCTTATTGGGGAAATGTATGTATACTTCTCAAAGATTGTTGAAAATAGACTTATTTGTTGTTTAAATAATTTCTCAGAAAATTGATGAAAGAATTGTACAATGATTTGAATGCATTGAATAACGACTTAATCACTGAATACAAGATCCGGTGTCAGAATCACAGCGATTTGGTTGAGAGCCTCAAACAGGTTAATGTTATTATCCAAAGGGCGGGCAATCTAAGAGGTACTTCCTATTTGCACTTTAATTATCAAATTTTCAATTAATTAATTGTATGTTTTCTATTGAAACAGTGGGCAAACCAAAGTCACAATTAATTACTTCGTGTCGAAATGCTATACAACAAAACAATTTGAATCTATTGTCACGTATTATAAGTGACGGAGAATTTTGAGCAAAAGTTAATCAGAAATTCTGTATATTATGTACTCATGAATTAAGTCAAGAAATAGTGATCATATTTAACCGAATTATGAAATTACAGTAGTTGATGTGTTTATCATATATGATTTGTATAAATCTGTATTAAATTCATTTATAACCCTTTTCAAAACAACAACAATCAGTGAATCAATAAAAAACTGGTTATAATGGCCCATAGGAGCTGCCGGTGCAGTAATTCTATACCGTACACCATATTAAATGTACATGGTTTACCTTATACCTCGGGACCAGATTGTAATAGTTAATTCTAATGTGTATGTTATTTTTATTAAAAATTTATTTTATTTAATTATTATAAATTTATAATAATTATTCAGAGAAACGCATAGTATAGAAAACTAAAGTAAGTGCCGGCATGTGTGGGAACACCGGGCCTTTATTTACCTTTACTTTTACCTTTAACTTTTAATAGATTGACCAGGTTAGACACGGCCTGCAACCAGTTCATCAAAATTGAATGATAAGTAGGCGTACTATCGCCCGCGTACTCCACGTTAGAGAAGTCGCATTCGTCCGCGAATTTGGCATTTTCTCGCTGCTTTTTAGGCAACTTATCCAGGTGGTCCAACGCCCAGAAAAAGGTATCGTACATGTGCTGCCTCACAATAGCCTGATCCTCCTTAGTTTTGTGTACTGACGCCACTTGCTCCATAAACAGTCGGGTATAACTATAGTCGAGTTTGTGTACATCAGTATAATACTTATATAATTACAATGTGCAATAATTCAGGTTAATTACTATACCAATTGAATTGGATCAAGGTGATTGTTGTGGCCTTTTTCTGGGCTTGCAATAAGACGTTGAGAAACAGAAATCGGATGTCTTTAGCGCCGGTCTCCTCGATCTTAGTGCCGCCGCATAAGTGCCAAAACGACTCATCTCTAAATGGCATAGATGTGCAGGTTTTAGATAATTATACAAAGTTATTAGATAATACAACTTGCTTTTTAAAATTTTTACACTGTGCCGGCGTATTATCGGTGGCAAAAATCATCTTGCTCAACGCTTTCATTTCAGTACTGCCTTTAAATTTTTTTTCAATAAATTTACTGGCTTCATCTTTAATACTTTTTGTGTCACTGACATTCAAAACAAATCACATATTAACTCAAATTAATTTAAAATAAATATTAATTTAAATATAAAATGCTAAATACAACATAATGGATTATTCAAAAACACCGGACATTAATGTTACATTAATAATGTATTACCTTTGAATTGAGTAAATTTGCCAATTATTACTATTCAAAACATATTATATACTGGTACTTTGCTTACAGTATAAGAGATACCCATAAAATTGAGAAACAAATTCTGCTCAATGATTATGTCCTAAAATATTTTAGCATTAAATATGACTAAAGCCTAATGTATGCCTAAAATCAAAGTACAAAGATGTATGTTAGAGACATATGGCATACCGGGGCATACCTGCAGTATTTATTGACATCACTTTTGACATCATCCGTGCAATTGAGCTCTTCGTCGCCGTAAAATAAGGCCACTCTCGCCATGTGGTCGATCTCCTCCTCAGTGGCCATTTCCACGCCATTCACTAGTTTTCAGATAATTAGCAAATGTTATGCATTTATTCAATGAAAAGGTCTAATCAATGCTTACTTACAACAAATAATAACTAGAACAAACCAAATTATATACATTTTCTGTTTTTACCTAATTTTTAAGTTTAATAAATTATAAATTAATTTATTAACCTTTTAAATGGCGGAATAATTAATATAATTTTATAACTGTTACATATTATGTAAATCAATACCCAAGTGTTTTTCCATAATTAAAATTAATCTTCATTTTGCAAAAACTCAGGTATTGGATGCTCTCTGATGGAAAAAGTATTATTTTATTTTATAAATTGATTTTTAATATTTAAGATTTAAACTTTGAGTCTCTTCGTGGATTTGATAAGTTTTATTGAAAAATAGTTTTTTAATAAAATGCATTAAAATTATAAATACTGTAGTCTTTTGCTGTGGGAAACCCTCAGAACTATTATCTTTAAACTTAAGAATTTTAGCCAGATATGTTATCATTTAAAACTATGATATTAAATACTTTCAATTTCAATTATTGTTATTAGTATCTAATTTTATAATTATACACATTAATTAATTTTAAATTTTCTAAATTTTTAAATAAAAAATAATATTAATTACAAAATAGTGAAGTAAGAGAAATTAATTTAGAAAATATTTATTGATTAATTTTAATATGAAATTCTTATATTGATTCATTTAAATATGTCTACTGTAATATTGATATTTTAATTTAATTTTCTCATCATTAAAATAAAAAACTATTGTGACATCAATTATAATTTAACACGTTCTGGCAATAACTTTAACAATGAACTAAAATAGATAATTATAAATTAAGAACCTACTGGTTTGTGTTCAGTTACAAGTAAAGGTGATGATGGTGTAGTATTTACTGGTTTAATAACATAACAATACCATAAAAGTTGCTACATATTAGAAATACTGTTCATTTGTGAATTGACTGTAACGAAGGATCCATTGATTAAAAACAAACTCAATATGAACTAATCATAACTTCATAAAGTTATATCATTATAATAGAAATTAAACGCAACTGTATTTAAGATATAAATATATTTTAATAGTAATAAAAAAGTAATAAAATAAAAGTATCTAAAAATAAAATGAGAAATATGTATTGTAAGTCATTGATTGCTGTAAAAATACAAAGCTTTAAATTATAAACAATATTTCTATCGGAAGGATATGTTATGGAAACCAATGGCAGCGGTTATGACCAGAAGTACAAACCAGACCATCGGTGATATAATACCATACAAGACATTCATGTTATAGATATCCCAACCCCTGGATATAACATAGCGCATGGAGTCTAAGGCGAGGGTCTGGGGTCCGTAATAACTGATGGGTTTCATGAAAGCCGGCATCGCCTCCACGGGCCAGAAGATGCCCGATATGATGGACACCGGGAGGAATGAGGCCATAGACATAGCCAGCGCTTGGCTCTCGTTCTCGCTGAACGCCGACACTACCAGTCCTAATGCCATTCCGCACATGCCTTGCATTAGTGTTATTAAATACACCAAAACTATAGACCCTTTCGAGTCGATGTTCAGTATGTAAAACATGGTGATAATGCTGAGCAGCACCTGTACGGCCAGTACTATTAATTGGGTACTAATTTGCGATACAATAAACTCAAATGTCTTCACTCCGGCCACTAGTGTCCGCTCAAACACCCCGTCCTTTCGCTCCAATACTAATGTAATTGCCGTCAAAGCCATGGCTGCGAAGAATATGGCCATTGATATGAGACCTACCGGTGCCATCAAACAAAATTTATTAACCAATTAATTCAAGTTCAATTCAATAAATCTAATAACTATGAATTCAAATAATACACTACTATTACATAATTATAGTGCACTACATGTCTGTATTAATAAATACCGTAAATATCTATAATTAGTATATAATCTAAATTTATCTCAACTGATAAAATATATAATTGATTTTATCAGATCACATTTATCTGCACAAATTTTTATATCTGCAAATAAAATTGATATGAAATATAATGAGTCAACAGATTTTGAGACTACGCTTTGACGTTAAATGTCTCAAATATTTGTCGCATTTAAATGTAAATTAGTTAATTAATTTTAGTCATGTAAAGCATAAATCAATGTTAAACATTATTTCGCAAACTAAAAATACTTATAATTTTAAAATATAGAAATCAAATAATACCGGGTGCCATGAACTCGGTCATTTGAGGTGATTCCACACCATATATGATACCATCGATAGATATGGGGTTCTGGAGGCCGGAGGCAGATATGTTAGCGCCGGCCAACTCAGCCATAATGAGAGCCGTCTTATTGTACGTCAAATATAACTCCTTTTGTATGGTATTACTGATCACATAATTAGTGGTATCGAGATATACACCGATCTTCGGGATCGTCTCAATCACCTCCTCGTAGGCCAGACTCTGCATTATTCGGCTATAATTGGCGGCAAACGTGATGACAGCCCACGCCCGGCCCTCTCGTACCCGATCGAGCGCTGCCTCTAATGAGTCAAACGGTATCAAAGTCATGGTCTGGTTGTTCAGTGACCTCAAGAATAGGTCACTCATAACGGCCGGTCTGTCGGCGTTGTAGACAGCAATGGGCAGGTCGTAGGGGTCGGGACCCAGACATGTGAAATTGAGTAGACATTGAAACGACGGCATCAGGAACTGGATGACCAGCATTGATAGGTTTCTACGGATTCCTGTGATATTCTTCCAGTTCAGAGCACTGATACGTCCCATGAATGCAAATCTCGATGTGTTTGTCAGCCGTCGAGTTGGCTCATTATAAGAGGTGATGGCGCTGTTTGGCGCCGGCATTAGCTGTCCGGTGGATATATTCTTAAGATAAATAAAAATTTCAATTTTAATCAAACGGTTCCCAAACAGTGATCTCACTTTCAATTCATAAGTTTCGCTCAAATGGTTGTTATCAACGAAAGCGGACTCCACTTCCTTAGCATCTCTGGTGTCGTTACTCTCGAGTTGACACAACTTCAAGAAGACGGACTCAAGTGATGGCAAATTCATGGCATTCAACAGTTGGATGGGATTTCTCTCCATCAGTAGCTTTCCGTTTCGCATGAATGACACGACGTCTGCACTGCGGGCCTCCTCTATGTATTGAGTGGTGATTATGATTGTGAGACCCAATTCCCGACACAACATCTCCATGTGATTCCATATACTCTGTCGGAGGACGGGGTCTACGCCTAAACGCATTTGTTTTTTTGGACGAAAATATATTTTTAGTGAAATTCACACACAATTTATGAATACAAAACTCGTACCAACTGTGGGCTCATCCAGAATAAGTAGTGGAGGCGAGTGTATAAGCGCTGCCGCCAACGATACCCTCCTCTTCTGACCCCCACTTTATGAATAATATTAAATTTTGAGATCAATTTAGTTACAAAAAAATTTTATACAAACTTTTTACCTCAAATTTTTGATGAATTTGTGTTTATTTGGTAAATTTAATAAAGAAATCAATTCATCGGTTCGTTCGCTAACGTGAGTCTCATTTAATTGATAGAGTCGTCCGAAGTATTTGAATGTTTCATAGATTGAAAAGTCTAGAAAAAGTGCAATTTCTTGCGGCATATATCCTAATCCGGGTCCAGGGATACCACTGTCTGGATGTCCCGGCACTTTTCCATATACTGATATGTGGCCGCTATCGGGCGCCCGTATGCCCACAACACACCGGAGTAATGATGTCTTTCCTAAAAATTATTTATTTTTTATAAACTTTGAAAATAAGTTATTTAAAAACTTATTTAATATTTTAAAATACAGACCACAACCACTCGGTCCTAGTAAACCGTATATACTTCTGGCCGGTACTGTCATATTAATACCGGTGAGCACCTGGTGTCTGCCATATGCCAGTTGCACATTAGTTACTTTGACGGCTACTTCATTGCTAATAGCCCGGTGCTGCTGTTTTTGGCGATCAAAACCATCGCCAACTTTATTATCATCATAAAAGGCATAGTTATCATACGATGAGTTTTGTGTCATTTTTATTTTAAAATTTAATATTATATTAATTCACTGTTTATATGACAATTAATTTAAGTTCATGAATAACTTTCAGTGCAAATTAGTCATTAATATTAAGTAAATAATATTGTAACTTTAATTGATTAAAACATAAACCCGATGCAATAACTGCCTACAAAAATCTTTGAAAATAATTATATGTGTAATTTAAAATATTATTTGTCTGTAACCTTTTAACCATATGTTATTAAATTACATATTGTGCATAAAATTCACAGAATTGTTGGGAAAAAGTTATACCAATTTTTATCTAATAGGCAATTTTTATTTCAATGAAAACCTAAAGTACTAGAAGTTATGTTTGGACTTTATTTTCTAGAATGAAAAGCAAATAAAACAAAAAACTTGAGTTATTTATTATAAATTACATAACCAAACTCAAAGTTTTACTTTTCAAATTATAACCGCTTTATTAAGTAGATTCATTGGTAGAAAAAATAAAAACAATTAGATATACATAATAATATAATTCATAATAAATGTGGAGCCAGTGTTTATCCACGACCTGTGTATGTCATAATTGTAAACCTTTGTATTGCAATATGATTGCATTTTGCCCTTTGTATTACAATGTATTAAATCAATGCAATCATAGTTTTATACATTTTCTTTGATGATGTGCTGTACTAAACGCCAGCATAAGATACACAGATATATATATACCTGTAATACGTATTTATAATCATAAAACTTTTATAATACAGTATATGTGTAGGTATTTTGAAATTTATTATACAAACAATTAATTAAGAGCCAAACGAGGCATGCATTTGAGTTTTCCATTCACTCACAAAGTGATCAGTAATACCCGTGTAATGAGATTTCACTTTTCAATTTTCATTCAATTGATTGGGGGATCACTAGTGAGACAAATGATCACAAAAATAATGTTTTAATTTTGTATCAATCATATGATGTCTAGCAGTTTGACATGCAGTCAATTAGTCGTAAAAAACTTTCTGATTTAATTAATATAGTTTTCGCAACAGTCTTGACAAGGATATGAGTCTACCATTCATAAAGTCTGGTTATCCCTGAATTTAAAAAGATCTCTTAATTAATTGGAAGTCATATATGTGTTCAAAGTGTGAAACAAATAATATAAAGTGTTTTAGGTATATGTAAACTTAACGAATCATTTGATATAAATTAATTTTATAATTTATTTGCAATTAAAACCAGATTATTCCTACTATTAATCGAAATGCAACGGTATATAAGAGACACGAAATCGTAGCGTACAAACTCATTATTACAATTATATGAGCAAAATATATTGTATTTTTGCAAATCATTTCAATTAATAGTAGTATACAATATTGTATAGAAGTAATTATTTATAAACATTGACTTTAATTCAAGTGTGAAATATTGTAATAAATAGTTTATAATTTACATTTATTTTACTTATTCTGTTAAAGAATATTTTGATTTTGCAAATAAATTTATTTTTGTAAAACAAACTTATTTTGAAAAGTTGTAAAAAGTTTTAATTCAAGATTGAGTGCTGAAATTCAGTGAAATAAAGCAAAATTCATTGATAAATGTCGCGCTCGTGTACGCTAACCATTACACAAAAGTGTGACAAATATCCGCAAGAATTAAATACAAATAATTTGCCAAATGATGACTTGAGTACTGTCCGTAAAGGCTTTTATCTTGAATTTCCGAAAGTTTTCTTACAATTCAGAAAATTCTTTGGCAAAAAGGTATTTTATATTTTAATTTTTACTATTATTTCTATTAAATATTAAATCTATTTTCAGTATTATATTCATTATTATTTGTTTCTCGTAGAAAAGCGAAGAATCAAATCTAGATTTAGCCAAAAATGTTAAAATCACTGAACATTTGCTGACATTAGACGAGTTATGCGACAAATTTCAGACACACCTCGAAAATGGTTTATCGGAATCGGAGGCTAAGATACGGTTAGCCCGGGACGGACCCAATGCCTTCACACCTCCCAAACAGACCCCTCATTGGGTACTATTTCTCAGGGAAATGACCAGTGGTTTTGCCCTACTCCTATGGTTTGCATCGATCGCTAGTTTTGTGTCCTATGGTATAGAAAAAACTGAGCAAGATGTAAGTTTAATGTTTTTCAAATTTGTTCTAAAACATACTGGAAATTATTATTTAGAAAAATTTTCATACTTATTATAGTTTCTCAAATAACTTTGTGGACAAATTTTAAATAAAATTAATTAATTATTTATTTTGATAAATTTAAAAGTTATACCTAGGTGTTGTGTTAGCACTGGTAGTATTGATAACGGGCACATTCTCCTACTACCAACAGGCCAGCAGTTCCAATGTTTTTGCTTCATTTAAGAATATGATTCCTCCGGTAAGTCATTGATATATCGGATGATATCTATGATAACAAAGTATTGATTATTATTTTTCTTTATATCTTTGCATTCATAGCAAACGTATGTCATAAGAGACGGTCAAAAACGATTAATACCGGCACAGGATATAGTGATCGGTGATCTGGTGTACTGTAAAAGTGGTGACAGAGTACCTGCAGATATCCGAGTTATCAGGTGTGAGGGTATGAAAGTGGACAACTCGTCCCTAACGGGTGAATCTGATCCACTGTCGCGATCGCCAGATGTGGGACATGCGGCCCCACTTGAGGCCAAGAATTTAGCATTTTTCTCGACTAATTGTGTGGACGGCAGTGGGTTTGGTATAGCCATAGCCACTGGTGACAACACAGTGATGGGAAGTATCGCTAAACTCGTGTCTAATATCAAGAATGAGAAGACGCCCATCGCTATAGAAGTGAACAGATTTGTCAAAATAATTACCGTAATTGCTGTGTTGAGCGGGGTCACATTTTTCGGTATAGCACTGGCGTTTGGGTCCACCTTTTTCCAAGCATTCATTTTTATGATTGGCATTACTGTCGGCAACGTTCCGGAAGGTATGAAAATGTTTTGAATATTTTGTATATAATTAAGAAAACTGTCTCAAGATATCATGTCTAACATAAGTTGTATTTTGACCCCATATGTGGTGCCCATTAGGTCTGTTACCGGCGATGACTGTGGCCTTAACGATGACTGCCAAACGGTTGGCCTCTAAGAACTGTTTAGTCAAGAATCTGGAATCAGTGGAAACGCTGGGCTCCACGTCCACCATATGTACAGATAAGACGGGAACTCTCACCCAAAACCGGATGACTGTCGAGAACTGTTACTTCGCGGACCAGGTGTTCACTGTGACCCACAATCGGCAAGAGGTGGAGCAGCAAATGGCACCTGTGGTCGAGTGCTGGGAGGCGTTCAGCCGGTGCTGTCGGCTGTGCTCGCGGGCAGAGTTCGTCGAGACGGACACCAACCCCGACATTATGAAGAA